CGGTCAGGCAGACACACGGACAGACAGACACACGGACAGGCAGACACACGGACAGGCAGACACACGGACAGGCAGACACACGGACAGGCAGACACACGGTCAGGCAGACACACGGACAGGTAGACACACGGACAGGTAGAGACACGGACAGGTAGACACACGGACAGGTAGACACACGGACAGACGGACACACGGACAGGCAGACACACGGACAGGCAGACACTGACAGGCAGACACTGACAGGCAGACACTGACAAACACAAGCACGTGGTTAAACTTATCAATAGACACACGGAGAGATAGACACAAGGAGAGGCAGACACAAAGACAGACATACTGATAGATGGATACGCAGACATACACAAAAACAGAGGAAACATTACATAGACAGACACACACAAATACAGACCGAAATACATCAAAACCAAGAAAGACAACCCAGACTTTATCTCAGTATTGGAATTATCTCCCTCTATCATTATTTGTTTTCATTTTTCTAGCAGTTAAAGTGGACTTGTATTGCACCATAGCTCCACCTGTTTAGACATGTGTGGCATAGCACCATCACTAACGACGAATGGGTATTTCGATGTTAGGGCGAACCCGCGCACCGAACTGAACCCCTGGGGTACCAAGTGGGCTCTACACAGCTGGACCACATAATTCCAAAACAACTAGCAAACAACTGTAGTAAACCAGTGCCAGAGAATGTAGGTGTAACACTTGCCTACCTGTACAACTGAGACTTATCTTAACCGGCAACTGCTTTCCTGTGTTATGATTCAGGATATCTTCGATAACTCACGCCACGATCCGCCTTTTTAATTTTGTTCAGCTATTTTAAAATAAAAGTCTACCCGAATCTCAAACTGTCAACACGTAAGCGGCTGTGCTAAAAACTGAGTGGGAGGGTCGGGGTAGAATCGCCAGTGCGATGTTTAAAGAAAAAAAAATAAGAATTTCTTTCTCACGAAAACGTTTTCAACAATTATAATTATTATTTATGTTGCTTTTGACGCCAACATCCGATCCCCCCTCCCACCCTCCCACCCACCAACACACACACACGCACACACAACTCCCACACTCCTTGTATCCCTACCGTTGTTTAAATCTTCCGTCTATTTGAACTGTTTACGTTCTATAATTGATCACATTTTTGTCTTCTTTTTTCTTCTTATAGCAACGGTTACAAAACTAGGAGACGCGCCAAAGTGGTACTATAACCGAATCAAAGGATTTATATTATCTACATACTTTTTCAGGGAGGCATACAATGGGCATAGCTCACTGCTGTTTTAATTGGCATTTGTCAAATCTTTTAAATAGTTAATTACATTTTTACTTAAAAAAGGGTAGTTCTTTCAAACAAAAGATTAAAAAAAAATTAAAAATAAAATAAAAAGTTGAAGATGTATAAACATCGTTTCAACCCATATGCAATGGGAAAGAAAATTGTGCATGAAACCTAATTTTATTTTCAGAAATTTTAATGAACTGATACAAAAAAATACTGATAAAAGCACATAAAGTGAAATTAATTCCCATTAAACATTACATTTTCAAAAAATGTACATGGGCCAGCAGTTTGGTTTAAAAAGTAGTGGTTAAATATCTCTAGAGATCAGAAAAGGATATTTATGTCACACTGCGTTGTCATTATTCCTTGACCAATGTGCTAAGTTTGAAACAAATCGGTTCGGTAGAAGTTGTTAAAATTTCGCGTGCACGTTTCGACTCATGGTTGAAACAAGAAGAACGACAAAGAGATCAAGTTTTAAACATCTTGTAATATCAAGATTCCGATTTATTGTTTATTGGTTCAATGAGCTTCTCACGTAGTTCTTGCTTTCACTCTGTCCCATTTTTTAGGCCCGGCGCATGTTTCTTGATGGTTGATACAATTTGATGTTTGATATCAAGTTTTTGTTATCTACCTGAGCCAGGAGTGGGGGGGGGGGGCATGGGATGAAGACAGCGAAGATAAAAACATGAAAAGCAGGAACAATCCAACCATTGTTTCTACAACCTAGGTGGAAACACACAGAGTTTCGTTTAATGGCTGCTGTAATTAGATCTGTTGAATTTAGTACAAGAACTGTGTATTTAGATGTGTTTTACACAGTAATTAGTTAGTAATAAACTAACATTGTATTTTCTTTCTGTAATTATAATCGAGTCACCTACCCATCCGCCCACCAAACCAGACGCCCCGTTGGATATTTATGGCGACGAGCTAGTATTAAAGTTAATGTTAGATGTTAGCTGCCGTTTATAACTGTAGGCTAGGAAAACTGGAAACCGATACATTCGTGTCTGGGACCAGTTATCGATTTGTTATTAACGTCAGCTATTATGTATAGTCATTATGTGAGGGTGGGTGTGTGTGTGTGGGGAGGGAGGGAGGGGGGGTCATCTTCGTGCTGTGTTGGGGGGGGGGGGTTGTCTTTGTTGGTGTCTTCAGTAGCTGGACACTCACCATTACAAAACATCACATCCACCCAACACCACATCCACCAACACCACATCCACCCAACACCACATCCACCCAACACCACATCCACCCAACACCACATCCACCCAACACCACATCTACCCAACACCACATCCACACAACACCACATCCACCCAACACCACATCCACCCAACACCACATCTACCCAACACCACATCCACACAACACCACATCTACCCAACACCACATCCACCCAACACCACATCCACCCAACACCACATCCACCCAACACCACATCCACCCAACACCACATCTACCCAACACCACATCCACACAACACCACATCCATCCATACACCCTCCACTCAACACCACATCCACCCAACACCACATCACATCCACACAACACCATATTCACCCAACACACCCTCCACCCAACACACCATCCACACAACACCACATCCACACAACACCACATCCACACAACATCACATCCACCCAACACCACATCCACACAACACCCCATCCACCCAACACCACATCCACCCAACACACCCTCCACCCAACACCACATCCACACAACACCACATCCACACAACATCACATCCACCCAACACCACATCCACACAACACCCCATCCACCCAACACCACATCCACCCAACACACCCTCCACCCAACACTACATTATATCCAATTAACCCTCCACCCAACACCACATCCACCCAACAGCACATCCACCACATCCACCCAACACACCCTCCACCCAACACTACATTATATCCAATTGACCCTCCACCCAATACGATCCCGCTTTATTTAATTAGCAGGGATAGTCTGCTGCTACCAAACTGTCTAGCATGAACTTTACATACTCGAGGTCGTAACATCACTATCATATTCTCAAAGAAAATATTCCTTTAAAAATAGTTTCGTTAACGAATTTTTCAACAGAGAGGTCATTCTTTAAGTCTCAGCAGGAAAACTTAATTGGACAGTAAATTATGTCATCGACCACTGGGTGACTCCCATAATTACATGCGTCTTGTATTTCATGTTCTCGTTAGCCGGTTGTTACATTCACTCTCGGCTGAGTTGATTTACTCGATTGGTCTTTCGTTTCGCTATACTCATTTAAAATAGTATCTGAAATTTTTTCTTCGGAGGGTTGAGGATGTAGAGGGCGGGGGGGGGGGGGGGGGGGCTGATTTAACCTACATGAACTTTTGTTCCATCACAGACCAACAGAGGCCTTAGTACACGGCTAATCCGTAGACGTCTTGTTAGTAGTGGCCAACAAAGGCCTTAGAATAATAGCAAACGGTTTATTTGGAGTCGTCTAGTTACCGCAACTAGCCATCACTGGTCAATAAAGGCCTTTATATGATCAGCAAACTAATTTGGAGTCGTCTAGTTGCCGCAACTAGCCATCACTGGTCAATAAAGGCCTTTATATGATCAGCAAACTAATTTGGAGTCGTCTAGTTGCCGCAACTAGCCATCACTGGTCAATAAAGGCCTTTATATGATCAGCAAACGGTTAATTTGGAGTCGTCTAGTTGCCGCAACTAGCCATCACTGGTCAATAAAGGCCTTTGTATGATCAGCAAACGGTTAATTTGGAGTCGTCTAGTTGCCGCAACTAGCCATCACTGGTCAATAAAGGCCTTTATATGATCAGCAAACGGTTAATTTGGAGTCGTCATCACTGTCCAACATACCACCATTTAATAAGGTTAGTAAAGGGTTGATTTGTCAATGCCGAGTAACCCTAACCAAACTTGTCGTGTCCGAGAAATCAACAACCAAATGTTTAAAAATACACTAAACTTTACTGCTGACGTCTGCAACAAAGTAAAAAAAACTTTACCTACAAAACCCCCACGTGTCTTCGCCCACTCAACTAAAACCTCCAGTTGAAAAAAAAATCGAATGATTTAAATACGTCTGGAGTTGCTTTTCCATTTTTTTTTTAAATTTCAGTTTCTGTGTACAGTCGTGCTTTGTTTTCTTGACATGTCCCCTGGTTTATGACTGATTTATGACTGATTTATGACTGATTTATGACTGATTTATGACTTTTTAATGAAGACGTTAATCGATATTCTAGATGTTGAAATCAGCTTTTAGGATATTTAACATCTCCGTTTCACCGCCTCCCCTCCCCCCAGCCCCCTCCCCACGCCGTACGGCCCTGTACCATCTGGCACCATGTTAGCGATGCCAGTTTTTTTTAGCCAACATTCCTGCAACACCTTCCCTACCTGGTACTTGCCCGTCACTTCGCTTTTAATTACTCTTAATGGGGGAGAGTGAGGGGGTGGGTATCCTGCGGTGAAGCGGGGGAGTGCGATGGTGGGGTGGAAGTGTTCCGCTCCCAGGGGAGGTTAGAGGAGACTGACCTGACTCTAGCAACTGAATAAAACGTGGGGGATGGAATGCTGTGAGTGTGGGGGCGGGATGGGGGAGGTGGGGTAGGGATGTTGCACAACATCAGACACGCACCAAACGACACAGATATACCGCAGTTTCACCTGACATTTCTTACCTTTCGCTGGGGATGAAGGTAAATTTATCCCGGTGCATCGTGTAGGTACAGCACGGCCTGTAATACACGAGGGAAAGTTGCATAGATTAATGAAATATTAATGAGATTTTGAAACCTGGTATCTGTTTATCAAGTAACTAATTAATTTTAAATTTTAAGACACACATCGTGTTGGCTGAGTTTCTTTGACAATTGTGCTAACGCTAGGTGATATATTTGTTTTTTTTTGTTTTTATATATATATATATATATTTTTAAATATGGAAAGTACACTTTCATCGATGACGGGCTACATAACAGATGAAGTAGAGTTCATCTGTTTCTTCAAACCAGTCAAGTTAACGTATACCAAGACGGTAGTCGAACTCGAGACTTTTTATAATTGGATTGTCTAATACAATAATTAACTCCACCATGCATTTTCATTATTTTCAAAGACTAATTTTTCCTTTAATTGTTACTTTATGGTTTTCTATATTTAGAGAGGTCACGTGAACCGGCGACCCCGACTTTGGACGTCAAACTTGACAGGCAGCTTCTGATCTTGGCCTATTGTTTACCTCCACGTGACGTGTAAAGATAGAAGTCGGTCACGTGAGAGGGCTATAGGGTACAGAGCGTGTTGGTGGTAGTCGGAGCGTATGACGCGTTGTCTGGGTAGGTGGACGTCCGTGGCGGTACGGAGAATCTCCGGGTCAAATAGTAACACGGTCCCTGGGGGTGGGTAAACAGATACGGTTAACTTTCTCACCCCACATACATTAACATCCACCAGGAGCATCCACCAGAATGATCCACTAGAAAGATCCACTAGAAACATCTACTAGAAACAATAATACCTCTACCCTACAACAATACTCACCAACACGACCTATTATGACACCCACCACAACACGTCACATCCACTATGACACCACCAGTAACACCGACTATAATAACTCAAGATAACACCCAGGATATACCTCACACAAGACACAACTAAGACCCACCGCCTTATACACACCCATAACACTTACCATAACACCTGCCAAAACACGCACCAGTAGCATCCAATATAAAACCTTTTACCCACCAGAACACCGGCCACAACACATCACACCCACCAAAACACCCACCACGACACCCACCAGAACACCCACCACAACACATCACACCCACCAAAACACCCACCATGACACCCACCAGAACACCTACCACAACACCCAAAGCAACACATAACACCTACCAAAACACGCACCAGTAGCACCCAATATAAAACCTTTTAGTTTTAGCCACCAGAACACCCACCACAACACATCACACCCACCAAAACACCCACCACAACACATCACACCCACCAAAACACCCACCACGACACCCACCAGAACACCTACCACAACACCCAAAGCAACACATAACACCTACCAAAACACCCACCAGTAGCACCCAATATAAAACCTTTTAGTTTTAGCCACCAGAACACCCACCACAAGACATCACACCCACCAAAACACCCACCAGAACACCTGAAGATTGTGAACCAATAAACCAAGAAAGTAAACCCAACACCAATAAATTGAACCAACTCAATTGCGCGCTGTCTAAGAACGCGAGGTAAATAAGACATTTTGCTGAGAACAACAGCGGAAGTCTAGGGCATCGGAATGTGGTGCTTAAGCCAGGAAGGCATCAAGAAATTAAGGTCAACTGTTTAGTCCCGTCCTCCTGATAAACTGGCCAGACCTGTCTTGATATTGGCAGGTAGCACCGCGTGCTCTTTGCCGAGTGAACTGTTTTGGTTAGGAGTTCAGTATCGCAGTATCTGTTTATAGAGCATGGTGGGTCGGTTTATGAATGGGGCGGAAAAGGGTGGGAGCTATGACGGGGGAGGGGGAGGATTAACTATGTAGGAAAATGAGAGCATAAATAAACCAAGAGGATAACACAATTGGTGCAACAATTTTACATACTTTTTTTTTTATATTATTCTTTTTTCGGTAGTATTATGATTTTTTTTTTAGGTTAGGATTGAGGTTTATGTTATTCCCGGGACTGAGGTATTTTGTGATTGGTTTAAACTAGAGTTCATATTCAAATGCTAGCAAAACCTCCAATAAGTTTCGATACTAGAAAAGCCTCAAATACTTCATACAATTTTCACTACCAAAACCGCCTGTCTGGTAATAAAATTTCTCTTTGATCACTAAGACCGGTTTTAGTCACATTTTGTAACTTAATATCCAACGTAACGATCATTTTGATACTTTTCAGATAGCAGTCTCTCCGATGACAACAGAGGCGTAGCAACCCCTCCAGGCGCCCGGGGCAAACTTTCAGTTTGGCGCCCCCCATATATATATATATATATATATATATATATATATATATATATATATATATATATATATATATATATATATATATATATATATATATATATATATATATATATATATATATATATATATGTGTGTGTGTGTGTGTGTGTGTGTGTGTGTGTGTGTGTGTGTGTGTGTGTGTGTGTGTTTGTGTGTGCGACAGTCTGGAAAAAAATTAACAATTACGCTGATTGTCGTTCCCTAAAACTTTACTGGACGCCAATTAAATTCCCCTTAAGATGCTGAAACGAATAAAAAGTAGAAAATCAAAAGAGCTTAAAACAGTGGGCTCCATCGAACCCGAGAGGTTCGGTGATTAAGTCTCAGGGCTTCCTCGGTGGTCAAGATACACACCCGACGCATAGGATTCACGATTGGATTTTGTCATTGTGGACGATACAACTATTAAGGAGGGTTCGGTGATTGCGTATATGAAACTGGTTGGGTTCAGTACTCCAAAAAGTTAAGAACCACTGCTTTAGAGTGTATTTTGTAGAAGGTGCAAGCCTTATTTGGTCAACTTTTGCTCATGTCTTTAGAACAATATTGCAATTTTGAATTATCAGTTAGGTTGAACAAAGTAATAATCAGTACAATATACTAATTTTCTTCTCTCTTAAAATTTTGGCATAAAGTGTCGCTTCCCATCCACCTGCTCCGACAGTCTGCTATTTTACCGATCGGATAGCGATACAAGAATCCGTTATATTTATTTCTCTTTAATGCAGTGAACCCGGCAAGATGTAATGCAATCAAGTAAAAGTATCTGATCTATCACGATCACGTTGAGAGAATCGTAAGAATCGTACAAAGAATTAGTCGCGTTATTACTTAGCAAAACTGGGTAGTGAAATCGTACATTAAGTGTTAATACAATTGATTTCTTTACTAAGTGTTAAAAGAGTTATCTAGCAACCTATCCAGTACATAGCGGATTTTAAACGTCACTAACTCTTTTTTTATGTTACACAATCGTAAAATACGCTTTAGTTCAAAGGGTTTCTTTTCTGAGTGATATCGGTTATTTATTCCTTAATCCGTTGTGAATTTCTCCGATTTTAGTCTTCGAAAAAGCGCCCCACCCCCCCCCCCCCCTCCCCATCTAGGAAAGCTGGAAAGCGGTTTTTCCGGTCACTGTTTCTTAAAGATATACGTTTTACAGTTACACAATCAAGGTAGAAAACAGTTAAATCAGTATGCAAAGGCTCCCAGCCGTTAAATTTCTTTACTTTGACTGTTTATAATTCAAAACTGCAACTTAAAATGAGCTTTTCATTTTTTTTCTACCCCTTTGGCGCCCCCCTGGGGTCGGCGCCCGGGGCGGCCGCCCTCCCCGCCCTCCCCTAGCTACGCCTCTGGATGACAACGCAATAATTTATCATCTTCAATGTTAATAAATGGGGTCACTAAAAATTAAAAATTAATTTAAAGATGACTATAATCAATAACAAAAGGAAGATGATTTGGTAGTGGCATTCATTCGATCTATCAGGTGAGTGGGTGGAAAGCAAAAACAAATTAAGGGATTTTTTTTATCAAGGATTACGGGCAAAATTAAGTCGTTTGATGTAAGGCACATTTTTTAAAGTCATCATGGTGTCGATTCAAGAATGAAAAGCGTGGAAAAAATAAACTTATTGCTACTTGTTTTTAAACTTTAATATTGATTCACACCGTAAAACATTATGAAGAAAAAAAAATTCGAGCCTGCCAGAATTCGAACCTGGAATCTTCTGATCCGTAGTCAGACGCGTTATCAGTTGCGCCACAGGCCCTGCTTAATAACATGATCCCCCACATATACTTAAGCCAATTTTTTTATGTCTTATTATGTATGCACGTATTATTTATTGATATACTACGAGTAAACAAATAGAGATAATTTGGATGCTGAATTAAGTAATTAATTAAATAAATGATAAGATCAAAGTGCTCTTTGTTTCTTTAAAACCAGAGCGGAAATTGTAAAGAATTAAAGCTTTAAAGTACATAAAAAAATAAAAAGATACCGAGCCTGCCAGGATTCGAACCTGGAATCTTCTGATCCGTAGTCAGACGCGTTATCCGTTGCGCCACAGGCCCTGTGTTATTGACTGGGGTCGAATACGCTCAAAATTCCTGATTGCATTTTTGGAAAAAATTAAAATAACATTTGTTGAAAAAATAAAATAAAATTTGTTTATTCAGTTCTGGTTTTTAACAATTATTTTTTTTTTTTATAATTGGACAGTGGCATATTTTTAGACATAGTTTATTTATTATACGTTAAGAACTTTGGCGTAGTCTTCTATACTATAACCCTCAATGGGATAGTTTTTTTGTTGTTCTTTGTTTACAATGATCGCTTGTTAACAGCGATATCATGGAAAGCGTAGCGTCTATCTCATGGAAAGCGTAGCGTCTATCGACTACAGAGTTTCTTTCTGGCATCTCTCTGGGTAGAGGGGTCATTTCCCCCTTCACCCCTGCCTTACCCCCCCCCCACACCCACCCCCCACCCCCACCACCGCTTCCTGAAGCACGTCTAACACCCACACCCTCCCTATTACTATGTATACAGTAAACATACAGTACACACAGCATACATACAACACACACACAACACATACACATACAACACACGCAGTAAAGTGCACCTGGTACATATCACCTGCAACCCCTCAACTTCGGGTTCTGATCTATCGATATGCGCTGATGGTGAAATCAATACTGGTGGAATTGTTCCGTCATCAATCACCTACCTACAAGTGTATCGAGCTAAAGAGAGAAGCGGTCCTTGTGTCCACACTGTAACCTACTAGCCCTGGGATGTACAGGGTATAGTAATATTTAGGCCAAGATGGTTTTCCCCTTTCAAACAAATATGCGTTAATAGTAATATCATATGTTAGGTAAGACAGAGAGTTTATGGGAATATTGGGGCTCAACCAATAGTGATGCTATACCACTTAAACAAGGATGGAGATAAGAAAAATTACTCAACAAAAAATGTGTTCAGGTTTTCGATTCTGAGAAAAAAAATTGACGAGCCTGCCAGGATTCGAACCTGGAATCTTCTGATCCGTAGTCAGACGCGTTATCCGTTGCGCCACAGGCCCTGAATATACAGTTTACTCGCTCATGCTTCTAGAGTAGTGAATCATATTATAACAATGTTAATATTTTGAAAAGATTTCGCTAGCTTGTGACTTAAGCTAATAACAATTTGCAAGAGGAAAATGCTGTAAAAAAATTAACAAAGATTTTGTAGATAAACGTTATCGCAGACCAAAGTAATATCTAATGAAGGCACGTCACAAAAAGTAGTAAGAAATAATGGAGTAAGCAATCACGTCACTGCAGTACATGATTGCATCGTCGGCTAGACAGTAAAAGTTATTGGTTGATGGCGATGGAACACATTCACAATTGATGTACGATCAATTAGTAGTAGACAGCTGCAGTAAAGATTGACCACATGACATGTGGGGCGGCCAATTTGGGGACAACACTGTTAACAGTGAGGAACTTACTAAATGCTAATCTTGCAGTAATGTCCCGTTCGCTGTTTTTCTGCATTTAACATAACTAGACCTACTGTATGCTTGAAAAGTCAATGTATATTTAGTTTTAAATTCTTTCTAAAAATATGGCAAGCGGTAACATAGTTAATTTTTTAAAAATTCAAGCCGTTTGGCAACCATCCATTACACTCATTTTCATATTTTTGTTTTGATTATAAACCATTAAAATAATTTTAGAATTACTTTATCAATTCAGATATTTGTGAAAACCGCCCTCAACCCCTTCTTGAACTCAACCGGAGTGGTCAGGGAAAATAAAACAATGTCATAACAATTGTTTCCCATGATAAAATACACAATAGCGGTCAATGTGGTAGGCCTATAGCCTAATAGTTTCTTTGTATTAAATATAACATCCCCCAACAACCTAACACCCTGATTCTAATAATTAAAATTAAACAATAAAAGTGCTAGCTAAATTAGTGTTATATTGTGAGTAATTATTTGTTTGAATTTTTCTAGCCTTTATGAAACTGGAAGTAATTTTGTACTTACTCCACAAAATTTGTTAAGTTATTCAGTTTTGGTTGAAAAATATGGCTTTCTGGCAACACCCATTTGGAACCGTTTGGAACCAACTTTTCAAGCCTATTGCTTTGGTAAATCAAACATACTCTAAATGACGATAACGCCTAATCGAATGGTTTTGCGAGAGATCATGCTATAAACTGAAATACATCAAGAGTCGCTTGCTAAGATTCTTGTCTTTTTGAAGCTATTATACTTTTATTAATAAAAAGTAATACTCATAACCTGATACTATAATATCTATAAACAGAATATCCTATTTCATTGGTATAGTTATAAGTATAGTATAACTTCATTAAAAGTATTTAAAATATCTTATGTCAAATTAAACATTTTACTTGCAATTTAGCTGTTTTGTTTTTATTGTTTGTGTGCTGTGATATGTAAATCGATCCGCTCTCGAGCTGAGATGACTTAAATCAGCCATGAAAATTTAAGTCAGATATGTCGGGTTCCCCCACTCCCCCTCCCGCCCCCTATCCACTCCCTCCATTCCTGAGCCACTTGACCATTCCAATCCAGGCCTAATCACCCACGCTTACTCACCACTATACACGTATGTCGAATAAAAGAAATAAATTCCTTGCTGGGAATGTATATGTGTAGGCCATTTTTTTACTCACTGTCTCCTTATATATGCAGACTTATTATACATTGTTATACTACTAGTAAACGAATAGAGATACTTTATCAGCATAATGATGCTGATATAAGTAATTAATTCAAAACATAATAATTTTCAAACTGCTCATTGTTTCTTTGAGACCAGAGCAGAAATTGTAACGAATTAAAATTTTATGGTAAGTAAGAAAAAATGAAGAGGAAAAACAAATCACGAGCCTGCCAGGATTCGAACCTGGAATCTTCTGATCCGTAGTCAGACGCGTTATCCGTTGCGCCACAGGCCCTACGATAGTTCGCATACATTATTTACTAGATTTTAGTGTAGTCGTATCAAGTCTTTTTATCCATGTTAAGATTTTTGGTCCTATGGTAAGAATGATTTTTAAGCAAGCGATATATAAAGGTAGGAAGTGTTTAAAGTAAACTTACCTGATATCTTTACACAAAATTCTGAGAGACGATGGTTAATTTTTGTTTATTAGATCCTTTCTTTTCTTGATAAATCCTTAATGATAAACTTTATACATTCTGAATTGTGTGGTCTTGGCAAATTTTCAAATGAATAGATAATTTTCTCTATCCTCAATGGAAATTGTTTATAAATATATTTTTTTAAAACATTGATCACCTGTTTAAAGATGTACAAAAGCTGCGATCTTCCTACGTCTTCATCCTTAATTTTTTGTTTTAAATTGACAAAGTGGTAAGGAACACGTTTAATCACGTGACTTTTTTCCCCCCAAGGCGCCTGGTGGTAGTTAGCCGTGAGCAGGCCCACGACTCACCAACGGTTTTCACAATTCCTCGACCCAATCTCTGCCAGGTAAGTTTCGGCCACAGCACACACACACACACACACGCGCGCACACATACCAGCTCACATAGACATGCTGCTACACACATACACACACACACACACAAGCTCACATAGACATGCCGCTACACACATACACACACCAGCAGCTCACATAGACATGCCGATACACACATACACACACACACACCAGCTCACATAGACATGCCGCTACACACATACACACACCAGCAGCTCACATAGACATGCCGATACACACATACACACACACACACACCAGCTCACATAGACAAGCCGCTACACACATACACACACACACACCAGCTCACATAGACATGCCGCTACACACATACACACACATACACACACAAGCTCACATAGACATGCCGCTACACACATACATACACACACACATATACCAGCTCACATAGACATGCCGCTACACGCACACACACACACGCACGCGCCAACACACAGATAGTAGTACGCCCCCACCACGTTCATGTACAGAACAGGTGATGGATGCTTTTTTGTGAACCAACTTTTGTGCTGGATGAAAAAGGCCAGTATTCAGCTTTCCCTCATTGAGTAGACCTGTAACATTTTAATCTCTCACAAGTGCCACATCTTCCAGATACGTCTGTGGGTTTGTGGTCAAATCTTACTATTCTCTTTTGACTCTTTTTAAAGCAGCATTTTTTTTTCAAGCTTTCTAGACAAAATAAATTACCTAACATAACGCTAGGTTACACCGTTATCGGTTTAGTTGGATATTTAACTGGTTATTAAAAATTAATTTAAAGATCACTAGATTCTAAAAGAAAAAGGGGGAGGTGTAACTATGTAGCAAATGATCAATAGATTAGTCTGACGGACTGGTGTTCAAGGCCAGTGGCGTAGCCAGGATCGTCTCAAGGGGGGGGGGGGGGGGGGTTCCAATTTTTACCCGGGGACAAACTTTCGATTTGCACCCCCCCCCCCCCCTAAAAATTTCGATTTGCACCCCCCTCATACTTTTATATATATATACCGAGGGGGTCTATGGGGGGGGGGGGTTATGACCACCCCCCCTAATCCCCCCCCCCCCTGCCTACGCCACTGTTCAAGGCAAATGTTTACATAAAGTACACCACTTTAACCACTTATAAAGTTTATATGTCTGAGGCCCCACTTCCTAATGAAACACGTAACTAGGGACCATCTGGAAAGCTTTGGTTAACCTTGACTTAACCAGATCATCAAGAGCCTCCAATGGCTGAAGACTAAAGACAAGATCAAAGAAATGAAAACGAACATCTACGTGAGGCAATAACCTATAACGTGTTCAGCCACTTCAGTAATAAAAGGGAAGTTTGATGAGTACCATTAGAAAATGTTAATAACAGTAGACACTCTACAAGTTTAATTGGCCATAAACACAAGCGCATAAAACACAAAACGATCAAATTACTTTTAGAGTTTTAGGCGTTAAAAAATGATTATGTTGATGGTTTCTAATTTTAAAAAATTAAAGCATAAAGTAAAAGAAATTATTTTCTTGATCCATAGAAAATAAATTTTGGAATTATTAAATAATACATTATTGCCTCGTCGGCTAGACAGTAAAAGTAGTTGGTTGATGGCGATGGACCACATTCACAATTGGTGTGCGATCAATAGTAGACAGCTGCAGTGAAGATTTACCATATGAAATGTTGGGCGGCCAATTTGGGGATAACACTTTTAACAATGAGGAACTTACTAAATGCTAATCTTGCAATAATGTCCCGTTTTTTCTGTATTTAACTTAACAAGACTTACAGTAGGTTTAAAAAGTCAATGTTTCTTTGAGACCAGAGCAGAAATTGTAACGAATTAAAATTGTATGGTACGTAAGAAAAAACGAAGAGCAAAAAAAAAGTTCACGAGCCTGCCAGGATTCGAACCTGGAATCTTCTGATCCGTAGTCAGACGCGTTATCCGTTGCGCCACAGGCCCTACGTTAGAGTGAGTACATTATTCACTAAATTTTAGTGTAGTCGTATCAAGTCTATTTATCCATGTTAAGATTTTTGGTCCTATGGTAAGTATGATTTTTAAGCAAACAATATATAAAATTAGGTAGTGTTTAAAGTAAACTTACCCGATATCTTTACACACAATTAGGAGAGATGATGGTTAATTTTTGTTAATTATATCCTTTCTCTTCTTGAGATAAACTCATGTATCTGACCTCATCTTTCCCAGTCATGTATCTGACCTCAACTTCCCCAGTCATGTATCTGACCTCAACTTCCCTAGTCATGTATCTGACCTCAACTTCCCCAGTCATGTATCTGACCTCAACTTCCCTAGTCATGTATCTGACCAGTCACTTATCTGACCTCAACTTCCCTAGTCACTTATCTGACCTCAACTTCCCCAGTCATGTATCTGACCTCAACTTCCCCAGTCATGTATCTGACCTCAACTTCCCCAGTCATGTATCTGACCTCAACTTCCCCAGTCACTTATCTGACCTCAACTTCCCTAGTCATGTATCTGACCTCAACTTCCCCAGTCACTTATCTGACCTCAACTTCCCCAGTCATGTATCTGACCTCAACTTCCCTAGTCATGTATCTGACCTCAACTTCCCCAGTCATGAATCTGACCTCAACTTCCCCAGTCATGTATCTGACCTCAACTACCCCAGTCATGTATCTGACCTCAACTTCCGTAGTCATGTATCTGACCTCAACTTCCCCAGTCACTTATCTGACCTCAATTTCCCCAGTCATGTATCTGACCTCAATTTCCCCAGTCATGTATCTGACCTTAACTTCCCCAGTCATGTATCTGACCTCAACTTCCGTAGTCATGTATCTGACCTCAACTTCCCCAGTCATGTATCTGACCTCAACTTCCCCAGTCATGTATCTGACCTCAACTTCCCTAGTCATGTATCTGACCTCAACTTCCCCAGTCACTTATCTGACCTCAATTTCCCCAGTCACTTATCTGACCTCAATTTCCCCAGTCATGTATCTGACCTCAGCTTCCCCAGTCATGTATCTGACCAGTCACTTACCTGACCTCAGCTTCACACGATATACTACAATACCAGACCTCGTCCATCAATCCGCCTATTCTGCCCGTGAGTGCATGCTTCTGCACGTGAGTGCATGCTTCTGTACGTGAGTGCATGCTACTGCACGTGTCAGGAACTAACAAAAAACAACTCTGGCATAAACATCGGAACACTAAGTCACCGTGGCCAGCTGCCTGGTTCAACCAGTCGCTCATGACGTCACAATTTTTAAAAAAATAATCTCTAATTTTTTGGTCAAACTTTTTAACTTCTTATGTTACTTCTATAAAAATTAGCCGAATCATTGTTAGTATCTTTCATACAGAAAAATCGATTTTTAACCAAAATAGAGAGTGGACAACGTGCGTCGGTGTTACTTCTTTTAGGAAAATAATATTTTAAAATATCGATCTCTATTGCCAAAAGTCTGAAATACTGAAGTTTAATTTACAAAGTAATGGTTTTACAGTATAATAACAAGGACATGAAATGGCATACAACACCAAAACCTATAATAAATATCTATTTATATGTATATCTTTTATTTACAAATATATATATATATATATATATATATATATATATATATATATATATATATATATATATATATATATATATATATATATATATTTATATTTATATTTATATTTATATTTATAGACCAAAGATAACTTTGTGTTGTTTGGCATTTTGACCAGCCTAAGTGTCTGATCAAAGTGTGATTCTACAAATACTAGTCTTTTAAGGAAACAAAATAACACTACTTATCTACACATCTTGCAATTCTAATTTGCTTTTAGCTTTATCATGAAAACAAAAGTTACTGACAATTTTAAAGCCGTTTTTAAGCCTAGTATGCCATTTACACTTTTTTTTTCTTTCGGCCCAAGTTTTTTAAAAATCTGGCTAATGATTCTTTTCCTGCCTCAAGTTTTTTCTTCCCGGCCATGATGGAACGGTTAGTGTCTCTGATTTTATTGCCAGCAATCACTAGCAGTTAGCTGCTTGCTCAATTGAAAACATTTTAAGGAATTTGTTTGTAGGGACGTGGAATACAGACAAGAAATGGTTCTGTTTTAATGTGTTTCATGTAAATAATGGAACAATTATCTTTGTGATGGAAGAGACTAAAGATATCTTTTAATTTTTTTTTATTTCCGGTATTTGCTAAACCCATTTTAGCGACTGACCCTGTTATTTAAGCAACAAAACAATGTAAACAGATTTTTAAAATATTAGAGCCTAAAGTGTATCAGCACTAACTCACTGTTAAATGTCTATGGTCTATGTTTCTTTCCTTCACGAGGAGTTCAAAGTTCGCGAGGATTTAGACAAGCATTAAATTAACTTTAAACGGAACATTGGGGATACAATTTTCTTACTGGTATCATCGTAGTAGGTAATCTGCATATTCAATGATTTCTTAGTATGTGTGCTGACTAAAATTTCCGGGGAACGGACACTGTTAAAAGTATATATTTCCTATATAAATTCCATTTTTCGCGGGGGGGGGGGGGGGGGGGCGGTAGACTTTATTATAATATGTAATAACCATGTGTAAGCTATATGTTTGGTGATATCTTGATATACAAGCTGTATACTTAGTGATTTTTTTAGTATGTAAGCTGTGAGCTATTATTTGACATAAACCATTTTTTTTGTTGACACTCTGAAAGACAAATGTAAAAATAAATGTTCTTTCTACATGAGGAAGTACAGGAATATAAGTCTTGATTTTACTCTAATACGAAAAGCTGTATATTCTGTATTAGTTTAGTCTTCATTTTTATTTTTGAAAATCGATAACTGATCGAAGAAAAAATCGAAGAAAATAAACTGAGCTATTGATGCTTAGAACAATAGGAGGTAATAAATTCCCTGGCCTGATAACTGTACTGTGGTCTAAAGATCCGAGAATCAAGAACAATAACTGCTTACGACCAGCGCCTCGTTGATTTAGAGAAAAAAAAAATGGTCACGTGGGTTCAAATAGCTAGTGGGCATAGAATTTTGATTTTTTTCTAGCGATTCCACTTTTATTTAGGTAGATAATACTCAAAATAGCATCATAGAAATGTCGATTCTACAATTTAAAAATGTAGGAGTGGAAATGGTATCGAATACTGCATGTCCATTTTGTATACCAAAAAAAAACGTGTTATACTTTTACAAAGGCGTAAATAATTGATATTAATCAAACATGCACTTTAAGGGTTTAAGTTTGTGTGTGTGGGGGGGGGGGGGTGGGGGGGGGGGGGAATTATCGGTCCGGTCGAAGTGGGTTAAAGATTGATTGCAATGCTCGATCCAGACAGACATGGATGGCAAGGAATCGAATACAACGTGGACTAGTTAAAATACAGCACGCTTGACTCCTCTAGTGACGTCACGTGATCTCAGTTGTGTTGCTATGAACAACGCAGGAACTTTGCTGTAAACAAAATTTCTGTCATCTAAATCTGCCTTACCTGCCTACCCTGTTTTTAATCAGATACATTATCTATATCTATAGAGCTAGTTATTTTAAAATAACAACAATTAAACAGTGGCTAATTGCTAAATCTCTTCCCCTGATATAGAAATCGATGTGAAATTGTTTATTGTTCTTTTATATTTGATCTTTATCGTCATTCTATTCTGTATTGAGCCCACAGGAAAAGCTACCTAATATTTTGTAGTTGATATGTATGGGGCATCACAGTGAAATTCCAATAAAAGCCCGCAAATGGTTTTGTTACAGACGTTCACGCATTTTAGTTTTAGGTCATGTCACATGGTGCGGTGAAGGTCGATGGATCGAGGTCATGTCGTTTGATGTCAGTGAAGACACGCCTTTGACTGCTGGAAACTCAACCTTTTCACACTCACAACACAATAGTAAAACAGGTTGTCGTTCGTTGCCTGGGTGAAAGTTCACGTCAAGTTAGACATTTCCTGTTTCTTATTTCCGGCTTTCGGGTATTCCCGTAAGTCGGAACGTGTCTATAGTGACGGGAAGGATTTTATTGTTAGCGAAGACAGACCGGGGGAGAGTCTCGGCGCTATTTACACGGGTTGGATAATGCTTCAGTAGCTCACCGGTTGGGGGGGGGGGGGTCGTATTATCATCCTCTCGGTTTACTTTTAGTTGCCAGGCAACCCAAAAGCTTAGCCCTTGAGGTAATCAAAACACATCAACTTCACTAAACTAAGTAGCATCGGTTCTTCAAGGACCCCCCCCCCCTCACTCTGGCTAATAAAGAGGATAGCCTCTTGGCAAATAGCTTAAGAGATATTCCCTGCAAAATATTACATTTGTTAATTCGTTATTCCTTTTCTAAAATGAAGTATGTTTACTTACATTGTAGGGGAGCGTTTTATGGCATGTGTATGGCTAGGATGATGAGTGGCTGGAATGGGGGGGGAGGGGGGGGCGATAAAAATAACCTCAGTTAACGTTTCCTTTCAACCTATAATATTCTCTACCGACCCCCTCCACCCCACTTTTAATGCAGAATTTCAAATGATTTCGATGACAACTGACAAGGATGATGAAATGATGTAGGAAAAAATATTGTATAGATCTATGTCTTAATTAAAAAGTTTTAAAAGTGTAAGAAAATCCGATTCGAAGATTGCATTCGAATTTCTCAAAACCAAAGTTTACACAAATTTTGTTCAAAGATTGGTCACGTTTACACTAAAACCTAAATTTACAAAATACTTATTCAAAGATTGTATACGTATTTATTAAAGCTAAATTTACAAAATGACGATTCTCTCTAAGAAGCTCGCGATGCATATTGGATCAATTAAGAGAGTCAGAAACAAATACGAAGGGCAACCGTTAAACGCTTACGTCACGATTTAATGTAGATATTTTTTAAAAAAAACTCATGCCATGCATATTTCTTTCATTTAGTTTGAAGTCAGGAGATGCGAAGGAACAAAAATTTCATTTCATTAGATTTAAAATAAAAATTAATGACGATGAACTGAGTCGTCTGATTGTTGAGCTATTCTTGGAACATTAATCACTCGCTTTAACATGGCGGGACTGGGGTGGGAGAGGTATGTTGAACGGTGTAAGGGATCATTTTACAATGTCAGAACTTTAGCGTCGGTGTTCAAGTTAAAATAACGAGTTGTCAAATTCTAGTTTCAGAACTTTAGTGTCGGTGTTTAAGTTCCAATAATGATTTGTCAAAATTTTATTTGAGAACCTCGTGGTCAATGTCATAATTCCAATATGACTTAGCAAATTCTAATTTTAGAACTATGATGGTGGCTTTATAGTTCCAATTTGACTGGTCAAATTCTAACGACACTGTTTTCGTATCAGTAATATTACAATAATGTTAGTGGTATAGCTACAACATGACTCGCCAATTCCAATGTCAGTACTCTAAAGTAAGTCATATTAAAGTCAGTAGATTACCTCCGCTATAACTCATCCATCACCAGCAGTTGCATCCTACAGTGTCAAAGAATAACATAACAAAACAGTGCAGAATATCGTCAAAAAATATAAAACTTCGTCATAAAATTTAATTAAGATCATTCATTATTTTCCCCCTTCGAATTGCGTTTCTCTCCCCCGGGGAAGCAAGGACCGAGGTTTGACTACACCAACCCACTCAGTCACATACACAATCTTCTTCCCAACCCACGTAGGTTCAATTGGTAGAATAGATTTGACTTGATATTTTTTTTTTAAACTGGGAGAAAGTGGGTTAATGAAATAGCTCAGAGCGGAAAAGAATTTAAAACAACTTGACAGCGCATGAAACAAACTCACTCTCAGAAGGAAGTGACGTAGTGATCAACTGACAAGTAAAATTTATTTCCGTTCTCGAGTTAAGAATAGAATGACGTAATTTTTCTAGCAGGAAACCGATGGCCTTCGTTAAGTCAACAAGGTTAATAAAAATAATTTGCTGGTGCGGCTTAGTAATGGCTATGGGGTAAGAAAAATGGCGTATAAAATCTATATTAATGTGTTTTTCTCAGTAAGCCAAGAAAACAACTTATTTGTCTTCGTTTTTTTAAGTCTGTGTAAGACAAAGCTGCGGAAATAAAGCCGACGTGATTGAGCGAGTGTGTGGTTTTATCAACAGCTACTAGAGAGTGTGTGATTATATCAGCAGCTACTAGAGAGTGTGTGGTTATATCAGCAGCTACTAGAGAGTGTGTGGTTATATCAACAGCTACTAGAGAGTGTGTGGTTATATCAGCAGCTACTAGAGAGTGTGTGGTTATATCAGCAGCTACTAGAGAGTGGGTGTTTATATCAGCAGCTACTGACTGTAAGGGTAGTTGGTACAAGTGGACTCAGTGTTTGTCTTGATGTCTGAATAAATGGAGGTTTGTTTTGACGACTAAAGAAATGAAAGTCGTATGGAGACTAAAGAAATGAAAGTCGTATGGAGACTAAAGAAATGAAAGTCTTATGGACGACTAAAGAAATGAAAGTCTTATGGACGACTAAAGAAATGAAAGTCTTATGGACAACTAAAGAAATGAAAGTTTGTATTGACGACTACGGAAACAAAAGTGGGGTCCAAAGAAAAGAAAAAGTCTGTCTGGACTGGCTATAACACAAAATGTTTGGGGTGGTGGGATGGGACGGTTCTAGGGACCCTCCTTAAGTAATTAACCCCCTCCAATGCAGACTGTGGTGAATTTTTTTTTAAATTACGTAAGATTTTGTCAACTGGTATTGGTATCGGGTTATATTCATGACATGTTGACCGAGTTATATTTGTCGTGTTTTGACCCTGTTTATATTTGTCGAATGTTGACGCTTTTTATATTTGTTGTATTTCGACCGTGTTATAAGTGCCGTATGTTAACCAGGTTATATTTGTAAAATATTGACCGAGCTATACTTTCGAAACATTGACCTAGTTATATTTGTCTTATAACATCGTGTTATATTTGTCGTTCGTTGATCGTGTTATATTTGTCGTGTGTTCATCGTGTTATATTTGTCGTGTGTTGATCGTGTTATATTTGTCGTGTGTTGATCGTGTTATATTTGTAAAATATTGACCGAGCTATACTTTCGAAACATTGACCTAGTTATATTTGTCTTATAACATCGTGTTATATTTGTCGTTCGTTGATCGTGTTATATTTGTCGTGTGTTGATCGTGTTATATTTGTCGTGTGTTGATCGTGTTATATTTGTAAAATATTGACCGAGCTATACTTTCGAAACATTGACCTAGTTATATTTGTCTTATAACATCGTGTTATATTTGTCGTTCGTTGATCGTGTTATATTTGTCGTTCGTTGATCGTGTTATATTTGTCGTGTGTTGATCGTGTTATATTTGTCGTGTGTTGATCGTGTTATATTTGTAAAATATTGACCGAGCTATACTTTCGAAACATTGACCTAGTTATATTTGTCTTATAACATCGTGTTATATTTGTCGTTCGTTGATCGCAGTGGCGTAGGCAGGGGGGGTTAGGGGAGTCATAACCCCCCATAGACCCCTCGGTATATATATAAAAAGTATGAGGGGGGGGGTGCAAAACGAAAGTTTGAGAGGGGGGGGGGGGGTAAAAATCGAAAGTTTGTCCCCGGGTAAAAATTGGAACCCCCCCCCCCCCCTTGAGACGATCCTGGCTACGCCACTGGTTGATCGTGTTATATTTGTCGTGTGTTCATCGTGTTATATTTGTCGTGTGTTCATCGTGTTATATTTGTCGTGTGTTCATCGTGTTATATTTGTCGTGTGTTCATCGTGTTATATTTGTCGTGTGTTCATCGTGTTATATTTGTCGTGTGTTCATCGTGTTATTTAACTGAGATCAGGTACGGCTTGTGGTTTGGTGTGTGTTGTACAAGGAAAACAAACCGCAGACATCACGACACTTAAGTGTAAGGTAGATCAAGGCAGTCTGATGTAATGGCCAGCAAAATTAGAACATTTCAGGATGTTTTACTGATGTTTTAAAGTGATTTACACATTTATGTGAATGTGTAAAATATACTTTTTTTTACATTAATTAAAACAAATCAGTGCATCAAAAAACTGTTATGGATATAAAATATAGGGAAAATAAAAGCATCGCGAAATATTTAATGTGTCGTGTATAACACAAATATTCGGATATTTTTGACAATTCACCTCATCTCGTATATATATATATATATATATATATATATATATATATATATATATATATATATATATATATATATATATATATATATATATATATATATATATATATATATATATATATAACATGCACTTAGGCCACATCCTATAAAAAAAAATACAAGAAACATACCAGTACACCAATACACAAGCAAACACACGACAATAAACTACAAAAATTGTTGTTTTGATCATTTTATATTTAAACTGACTTTAGTGATATGATCACCAAATATGTCAAATAATTATTCATACAGTACTATTATTTCTCCACGGAAAGGAACACATTTAACAGGAAAGGAGTTTCGGAAATTTTGATAAAATTCAAATACATAAAAATATAAGTGTTATTTACACGGCTTTTGACCAACATCTTACAACATATACCACAACATAACACAACGAGCATCCAGCATCCAATCATCTTCTTTTTGTATCAATCGATTACGATCAATTAAGGCTGATAAATAATTGTACTAAATATACATAACACAACCTGTGTTATGACAGACATTCCATGAATAACAAGAAGAAAATATTGTCATTTCAACAAGGGTTATAAATAGTAAAACACGAGTTCATTTATTTAACATTAACACGGATCAGACTATACAACCTGATATGACTGACACTTGATTTAATGATACAGCTTTATAGCTGAGAGTAATAGTTACATCTGGATCATTTGGGTTGACCTTTGGTTTAACAAAGCAATGTAAAATTTAAATAATTTATAACACCAACCTTGCCTCAAACCTTTTATCAAAGTCTAAGCGTTCTTAACACCAAAAATACTATCATAAGCCTGAGCCAAACTATCTTGACTTTGAATTTACTCGCGTTTTTACTTTGACCATCTCCTAAATCAAACCGGATCGAACATCATACACAACTTTGAATTTTTTTTTAAACCTAGCCCTTTAAAGTGTTGGAGCTTCACTAAAGTAATTCTTCAATCAACATAAACATAATTTGATCCGGTCATAACAGCCTTCAGATCACTGCCACCACCCAATGTACGGCTTGTCTGCTGATAAGGGAAGCAACTCCGTCACTTCTTTACACTCCATTCGACACTCCATTCGCTTGTTTCTACCGAGGTAAAGATTATTTTCCCATATTGTAAGCAGATTCAATTAACATTGGGAGGGAAAACGACATAAACCGAATCCAATCACGTAATTCAATCTATGTTCTGTTTTGTAGAATCGGCCTTGACATTTGACCTTCACTTTGAGATACCTGATTGGTCCATTTTTTCATCTGCATGAACGTGTCAGACCGAGCGCTGTAGTTGTCGTTGAGCGAATTGTTTTCCGTTTTTTTCCACCTGGAAAATAATTCCAGAAAGCTCTTCTTGTACTTGGAGCTCATGTTGTAGTAGAAGATGCTGTTGACGCTGGAGTTGATGGCGATGAAGAGGAACCCGACGGACCAGGCTGCGTGGAACACGTTGCTATGGTGACCGAGGATGCTGAACTCTTCTTCGACGAAGGCCAAACACGACAGGATGATCCCGGGGGTGGAGCAGAAGATGGACAAGACTGCGATCAGCAGCACCATGTTCATGGCCCGCTTCTCGCGGTGGATGAACGAGCTTTGGTTGTCATGCGCAAGACAGGTCTTCCGGCTCCGCCATCTTGCCTCGTGTTTGAGTTTAAAGACGAGAGTTGTGGTGAAGATTATGACGAGAATGTACGACAGGGCGCCGAGTACAGCGTTCACGATAAACCCCAAGCCTTCGATTTCTTTTCTGTTGCTGGCGAAGACTAGGCCTAGCATGGTTTGGTTCCTCGGTGGATGAAACTTCCAGCCGATGTAGGATGAGATATACTCCGGAAGGGAACATATAATTATAATGATGTAAATGAATATCAGTGTTAGGATTGTGCGTCGAGGGGTTATAATATGTTTTACTTTTAAAGGGGAGGTAATGCAGAGACACCTCTCAGCCGTGATGAAGGATGTGATGAAACTTGTGATACGGGCGAAAACAAAGGACGGCCAACCGCCCGTGAGGTACTGAAACTCTCGCGAGATGAAAGGAATGTTGGAGTTCTCGAACAGGGGGTTCATGCAGATGGAGAACCACATGAGGGTGACGAGGCTGCAGAGGTCGGAGATGGCCAGGCCGAAGAAGCTGATGTTCATCGTCGTCTTGAGGCCCTGCTTGAAGAAGATGACGACGTTGACGATGTTGGAGGCGATGCCGAAGAGGGCCACGGAGCCGCAGAGAAAGACGTAGGTCACCACTTCGAAGACGACGCGCTCGTGGTCGCTCAGGTACAGCTTGAAGGCGCGGGTCTGGTTCAGCACCGCCAGGGTCAAGGTCGTGGTCTCAAGGTCAGGCCGGACCACGTGACTAGAAGATATGTTCATTCCTGAGCATACTACAAATATTTCATTAGTACGCAAAAATTAGTCCCTACTTATACAGAAATAAATATTGTTAAAAACAGCGCCGATGGCCTTGATTTCGAAAATTCAAAATACCAATTATATAGAATCTAAATGTTTTTGTTTGCAACAATGTAACTTTGTTATTGAATGTTGGAGTTCTCGAACAGGGGGTTCATGCAGATGGAGAACCACATGAGGGTGACGAGGCTGCAGAGGTCGGAGATGGCCAGGCCGAAGAAGCTGATGTTCATCGTCGTCTTGAGGCCCTGCTTGAAGAAGATGACGACGTTGACGATGTTGGAGGCGATGCCGAAGAGGGCCACGGAGCCGCAGAGAAAGACGTAGGTCACCTCTTCGAAGACGACGCGCTCGTGGTCGCTCAGGTACAGCTTGAAGGCGCGGGTCTGGTTCAGCACCGCCAGGGTCAAGGTCGTGGTCTCAAGGTCAGGCCGGACCACGTGACTAGAAGATATGTTCATTCCTGAGCATACTACAAATATTTCATTAGTACGCAAAAATTAGTCCCTACTTATACAGAAATAAATATTGTTAAAAACAGCGCCGATGGCCTTGATTTCGAAAATTCAAAATACCAATTATATAGAATCTAAATGTTTTTGTTTGCAACAATGTAACTTTGTTATTGAATGCTTTGTACGCGCCATTGAATGTTTTATACAGTGTTCGTTTTACCTCTACATTTTCCTTCAAGTTTGATCAAGAAATTAATTAGTCGTCATTAGTCTTAGACCAGATCCTGTATAATCCAGACCTTGTAATCAATATATCCCAGCACCAGCAGCTAATACAACCGTGGTCCTCCCTGACGTAGGTTCCCACACATATTTAGTCTCTGGTACAAATACATTTTTGTTTGATAACCTTTTGTCACAGCCTTAGTTCGTGAGTTTGTCTTCACGGAAAAATTCCACCCTGAAATTTTTCGTCTTAGCCAAGTGATTAAGTTAGCCATTGTGCATTCGTCACCTGCATCCAATAGATAATACTAAAAGAAGAAATGTACAGAAATTTTCACACATTCTTAGAGAACATTTGACTCAAAGTCGAACACAAATGTGGTTTTTGTTCATTTAATCGCTAGTTTACACGCAAAAAGTATTCCATTCTACTAAGGTAAAGTGTTTTTTTTAATGTTGTAAACACTGTTGTAGCTCAGATTTAACAAAGATTCGTTTCTATTCTCTCAAATTCTAGTTTGCTGAAAAATGTTTACAAATCAAATTTTGACCGTAAACCTGTACCAAGAGTTTCCAACAGAAGATTGTGACAACGAATTTAATTTATTCTTTTATCCAAACCACTTACTTTCTGAAGAAAGTTTGTCCTCGAAAGAGTAACAGAGACCACTTCACTTATTCGCCTAACCTAAACAATAACAAAGATCTTCATCTTATTCCACTAATCTAAAAAAACTAACAAAATATCTTTTTCTTCTAATCTAAAAATTAACAAAGATCTTTTTCTTATTCATCTAACGTAAAAATGAACAAAGATCTATTTCTTATCCCACTGACCGCTGAAAGATGCTCCGAAAAGTTCACCAGAGAGATTAACAAAGATCTTGTTGCTGTAACCGTTGGTTGATGCCACAAAGGTCTCATTCCCCACTCCGTGGTGAGCTGGCACCGCTCAAGTTATCGATTTCTCTCAGTTTGTAGCCCCAACATTGCTCAGTGCGAGAGAGGGAATTTGATCTTTTCTTGATTATACCTCACGTTACAGTATTATATTTTTTATAGTTAATCGATTTAATAGAGGGATGATTAATAGCTGACTTTAAAGGCGAACACCCCATTATAATTTTAAGTTTTCTTTTGTTCGTCGCTTCTTATCCGAAGCTTGAAATGACACCAGTGTAACTATAACATCAGGAAGATCGCAGTTAGACGACTCCTCTTTAAATGACGTAAGAACAAGCAGTGTCACCTTACTCTCTCTCTTGCTTGAAAGTGTTTATATAAGTCACAACACTATTTAACCAAGATTTAAACACTTAGAATTGTGTTTTATGTTTAACAACAACATCATAGAAAGCTGTCACCGCGAGCTTTAATTCAAATACCAAGAAATCGAACTTTCGAGAAAATCACCTAAACTGATTTAGCTTAATTTAAACTAATATTTTTTGTGAATTCTCAAATAAATTGTATTAAAAAAAAACCTCTGCATTGCCTATGTCCCAGTCTATAACATAAAATGAAAACATGAAGTGTAATTACTGTTGATAACAAATAGTTCTCTTTCTATTGTGTTGTGTCGGTAGATATCAATTTGAAATAATTGATTATATATTGTTTTCATCATATTGGACCTTCATTGTATACAATTTTTTACATATACTCTACTCTCGCTATCATTTATTTTTCGCATCAGTTTTTAACAGAATTTGAAAACTTCCAAAAATCGCGATTTTTTAACGACTCTCATTTTAAAATAACGAAAAAAAAATAATCTACAACAGCTGCAGTTTGATTTTTATAGTTGTTAACTTTGGCCAGCGGTGGAAATGATGTTACAGATATTTTCCGTTGGTTAGAAATTTTTACGTGTCAGTGAAATATGTTTATGACAGTGCGATAATTTTGTTTGTTAAATGTTATATTTCTTGTGTAACGGTAGTAATTGCAGTTTTCATAGATAAAATTGCCCTGTCTATTTACTTGACGGCACAGAAATTATAGCGTCGTCTGGTTGGGTTGGATGTAATTTATTTTCTCGACAACTAGAATTTATTATTCCCATCGAATAGTTTCTTGGGGAAAACGGAAAATCTAAAATTATTTTATTTCCCTTTTTAAAAGTGCATTGAAAATTAGATAAATTCAAATGCTTTAAAATGCATATCTATATAAGCGATGTTCACGTTCAAGATGTTGTTTGGTAAAGAACTTTTAGTAAACATTTACATTCTTAATTCAGAGGCGTCATAATGGTCGGCTACATATTTGGTTGCCGAGAGTGGGCTCTGGACAAAAATCTTCATAAACTAACTGAGAATATTTTTTTAAAATCCTAAAGATATATATATATATATATATATATATATATATATATATATATATATATATATATATATATATATATATATATATATATATTTATTTATTTATTTATTTATATTTATATTTGTATATATATATATATATATATATATATATATATATATATATATATATATATATATATATATGTATATGTGTGTGTGTGTGTGTATGTGTGTGTGTACGTTAGTAAGTGTGTGTGTATGTAAGTGTGTATGAATATGTCTATGAGTCTGTGTTGTATGTGGGTTGTGTTTGAGAGGCTGTGCGCGTGTGTGTTTGGGAGTGTGTATGTATATGTGTGTGCTGGAGTCTTTTTTCGTGTATTACGCCATTAAACTAGACATCCCCAAGAAAAAAATCTTATTCGACACCCCCGCCCAAACCACCCCGGTAACCAATAATACCCTTATGAACCTCATGTCAGTATTACCCCCCCCCCCTCCAGGCTCACCTTTTCCTCGTGTCTCTAGCGGACACATCACCAAGCCATTTATCCCTACTGTTGTATCCTCAGTTTTATGACAGAGCATATGAGAACATCACACACACGTCACATTTCACATTTTTTACAACTTCAAGCTGCATGTCAGAGAATATTAAAGTTAAGATTTAAATATTAAAACATTTTTTGTACAGAATTATCTAGCTTAACTTGGCTAAAAGGACTGAAAGGGACGTAACTCCTGACATGATCAATATCGTAAAAAACGTGTCAGTTTGCCTGTGTGTTTTAGATCTACTCGGGTCTTGTCTTCTAAGTATGTAGAACATAAAAAGGTAGGGCTAACATAGGTTTACGTGTTACATGAGGGAGTTTTGTATTTTCTTGTTAAACGAATTCGACCCAAGGTCGGATAGAAAGTGGAGAAGAACTAGCGTACATTTTGTTTGGGTTGGATGGATGCCCTGTTATCTGTTGCATGCAGGGTGGGCAGATGCTGGAATGGTGAAGGCGTGTCTTACGATGGACAGGTAAATGGATTATATAGGTGGGATTAGTGTCAGAGCGAAAGTTGGATAATAGATCTACACGCTGGTATGTATGAGAATGGTTAGAATAGACAATCGGTTAGTGGTGGATACCAGCTAGAGATCAATAACTAGCTACCAAGGTTATCGACCAGCTAGAGGTCAACGACCTACTAATGAGGGTCAATGACCAACTATCTAAAGTTCAACCACCTGCTAGCCAGAGGTCAGACCAGCTATCTAGGTCAAAGATCAGCCAGAGGTCAGACCAGCTATCTAGGTCAAAGATCAGCCAGAGGTCAGACCAACTATCTAGGTCAAAGATCTGCCAGAGGTCAGACCAGTTATCTAGGTCAAAGATCTGCCAGAGGTCAGACCAACTATCTAGGTCAAAGATCAGCCAGAGGTCAGACCAGCTATCTAGTTCAAAGATCAGCCAGAGGTCAGACCAGCTATCTAGGTCAAAGATCAGCCAGAGGTCAGACCAGCTATCTAGGTCAAAGATCAGCCAGAGGTCAGACCAGCTATCTAGGTCAAAGATCAGCCAGAGGTCAGACCAGCTATCTAGTTCAAAGATCAGCCAGAGGTCAGACCAGCTATCTAGGTCAAAGATCACCCAGAGGTCAGACCAGCTATCTAGGTCAAAGATCAGCCAAAGGTCAGACCAGCTATCTAGGTCAAAGATCAGCCAGTAAGAGTTCAAAGATCATCAAGCTAGAGGTCACGACCAATTAACCAAAACGAACGCCAGGCACTGAGCTGTTACCTGTGTATAGCGTGAAACTACACCTGTAAAACGAAACATTTCCTAGGATTAGACGCATGTCAGATTAACATGACATGAACTTTTTTTATCCTCACCAGATCAACATTTTCTGTCTAGATGTGTCAGACATCAGAAAAATTGGCCAGCCGCTGGTTACATGGATTAGTTCGGTTTGAGAG